CCCCAAAACCCCAAAACCCCAAAACCCCAAAACCCCTTAAAGTCTTAAGAAAGTTGAAAGATATTATTCGTAAGAATCTTATCTGATGTATCATGCTCATGTTTGATCTCTGTCTAGTCTTTATCTAGAAGTCTATATATTGGATCCTCTCCTTCTATCACCTCAAGGAGACCATCCTTGACCAGCTTGGAAACATGATGGTCAATCTGTCCCATAGCCGCTACTTTTAAAGATGCGTTGAGATTTCTTGGTCCATAGACTTTTGAATAGACTTCTGATTTGGGAACTCCTGACGAGGATTCCTTAGATTCCTCAGAAACATCAGATCTTATAGCACCTAAAGGTTAGAAGAAGCTTGCTTATAATCTGTTCCTCTCGTTCAAGTCTTGTCGCTATGTAATCGTCTATTTTAGACTTTGCATCCATTATTATGTATTCTTTCTCTAAGTCAATTGAATGGCCAAAACAGATTTGTAGATTTGGATATTTCTCACTATAAATAAACTAGCCACAATACCATAAAGATTGGATTCTGTATAAGCTCTTCATGTAATCATAGAGCTCTTCAAATTTGCCAGAGGGAGTTCCTAATACACAGTCTCCACTGAAGATGACATAAGATTCATCTTCACTTTGTGGGTAAAGAAGGTAGCACATATGGTCTTCACAATGTCCTGGGGTGAACAAACATTGGATTTTAGAAGCTATAATTAGGTAGAAGCCATACTCTCATTCTCGATGATTTCATCGTCTTCTAAATCTTTCGTTACTCATTTATCTTTAATGATTTCCATAGTATCCTCAACATGGGCTCCTTTGTAAAGCCTTTTAGCTACGATTATTTCTTCGGTGTTATGACCGAGGTCTTTGAGACTGGAAAGCACTCCAGGAACGTTCCCAAGGTGGTCGTGATGGTAATGTGTGATGAGGATATGACTAAGAGTTAGTTCGTGCTCTTGTAAATAGTCAATTAATGACTTTACAAATTTTTCAGATTGCTCTTGATTTCCTTCTCAGGCTCCTCAGTCAATGAGAATTCTTGATTTTCCTGTCCCTACTAGGAAATTATTATTTCCATTGATTCTATGTCCTCCAGGATTGAGACCATGGAACCTGATGATTTGATCAGTAACTTGAACAGGAGGAGCATCTAAAAATTTTGGATCAATTCCTTCCATAATGACGTTATTTTATATATTAATCGCAATTTTTCTTCGAAATCTTGGGGTTTTGGGGTTTTGGGGTTTTGGGGTTTTGGGG